AGTGTTTTTTCTTCTTCTCTTGTTAGACTAATTTATTCATTGACCAATTGTTCCAGCTCTTCCTTTGTCAAAACCACCAAAAAAACAAACCAAAAAAACGGACAAAAAAAAAAAACACAGTAGCTTGCTGCATTTTCAGTTGTTTACTCTTTAGAACCTTGTCATAGTGTACATGCAGTATGTATACAGGTATGTCTTTAAAATAACAAATTTGTAATATATAGATAGAAGTAGAAAATTGCCACTAAATTGATCGAAGAGGAAAAAAATCTCTTGAAAAAATATGGAACACTATCTGCAGTTGAACTGGCCTCTTTAAAGTTTAACATGGTTACATGACATTTAAGGGAAGCTAGTTCTACACAAAGTGCACCTCGAGTCATTGTAAATATTTGAAGCCTTCCCTCAGTATATTCCCCCCCCCCACACACACACAAACACGAGCTGCAGCTGCGTGTGTTTCAGTCTGTGAGGTTGCTGCTGTCTGTCTATCAGGTGGAGGCTCAGTGAAGCAGACACAAGCTGGAAACACAAGTCGAACACAAGTCAGGTGAGGATGGAGGCCAGAAGGCAAGAAGGAAGCAGGGGAGGGAACAGAAAGCCAGCAAGAGGGGGGCTCTGCAGAGAAAGAGGATGACTGAATTTGAGGTCACATCAGGGACGTTCACCGAAATGTTTCCGTGGACTGATGGGTGCACGATGAGCTGAGATCTCTGTTTTGGCCTCAGTTTATGTCAGGTCGAATCTGCATCACATATTTATTGGACCTTTAGGAGAGTTGATGTCACGGCTGATGTCAAAGTGCCTTGTGAGCTTGCTTCGCTGCTGCCAGGGGATTTGCTCATTGCTGTAATTTTTGAAATGCTTCAGCTCCATTTTTAACATGAAAGTAGTAAAAGAATGTGTTAAGTTCAGATTGACAGAAAAACAGTTGTTGGGTATTTTTTCACATTATTCTATTGTTTTATAGACTAAACAATCAGAACTTGATAAACTGGAGAACATACAATGAAAATAATCATTCAATTCTGCAGAAGGTTTTACTACGAGGTTGCTTGATTGATTCATGTTTGCTCAGAGAGTTGTATATCTGGATTTGTTGCTTGACTTTAAAACTGTAGACACATACCACCTGTTATTTACATTTCAGAATGCTTTCACCGCTTTCATAGGCCTTTTTTTGCAGCTGATATTTTGCACAGGTGTCACTTTGAAATTTAATAACAGCCCTGGTTTATTCACGTGTCCCAGTAAATTGCAGCATTGTGACGGTGTGAGCTGGCATGCACAACACCAGGGCCCTGAAATGGGAGCAACTATATAGAATTCAGCATCATAAATTTTTTAACAAATCTTATATACGCTCGTGCTTTTCCTTCTGTCACCCTCCAAAGTGCCTTCTGAAATCAAGGCCTATTCCAGTCCGGCTAGCTACAAACGTGCATTGTTTTGAACCAGCCATTATTGTTTGTGCCTCATTTCACTTTGAGCCACCTGGGGCCCCTCTGCGCAGCCATTTCCTGCCTGGCCTGGTGATACGATGGCCTGGGAACCGTGTTGTCTCTTCACTCTAGAACAGTTAACCAGAAGCTTTTCATTCCTGTCATACTTTGTGCTGCTGCTCTTCTCTTCTCTGCGCTAACTCGGGTGGGAGGACAGACGGATGCCTCATAGTTTCCCTAACTGATTTCCTTTGCTGATGGGTGTTGTTATGCTCTTGTCATTAAATGTGTTTGGAACTCATAAAAGCAGGGTTATTTTAGGCTTTGTCACACGTTGTTGTTGAGATCCAGTTGGTTTTTAGTTTCTTAAGATTTTAAAGAATGTACAGTGAACTCCTTCAGTTCTTGTACAAACAAGAAAATAACCAGATATAGACATATCGGACTTCACCTACCTATTTAGGCTGAATACAAGCTAAACGTATGTAAGAATCTTTCAATTCAAAGCACTTAAAAAAACTAAATAAGAGTAGCAGCTTTACATAAATTTAATCAGTGTTGCATTTTCATCCAACTTTAACCTTCTGCTTGACTACATTTCAAAAGTGTATAAATATTTTTTACCACACTGCATTGTTTTGACAGCTGACGATTGTAGACATTTTGAAAATTAAGGTTTTTCACCCAAAACGCACTGTCCTTTTCTATAACATTGTTTCTTGCGCTATATTTGGTTATCACGAAATCTGCATGAATTCTTTTGAAGTCTTTTTAAAATGTGAAAACAGTCTGTGCAGTCAGATTGTTCTAAACTGATTTGTTAAAGTCCAAAAATGTTTTTTTTATAATTTCAATGCAGTATGTTCATATCTATTAGTGATTGCACTTCTTCCTTTTAAGCTATATTGTATTGCAGGACCTCTTCTTGCAGAGGACTGTTTTCACTTTGCTGTATTGTGACTTTTACTACTCTGAAGGATCTGAGTACTTCCTCCACCAGTCAGTCCAGTGCACACACACTCTCTCATTCAGTCAGTCAAGTAACCGCTTGGGGAGTTTGTGTCCACGTCTGCAGTTGAGTTCTGTCTGATCCTAAAAGATAACACTGTTGGTCAGGTCGGCGTGCTCACTTCGCAGCCCTCAGTCACGGACCCATCTGCTTCATGTGTGTCACCCACTCATACACAAAGATTATGTGATGCTGACAGCTTGATCTGGTTTCAGTGTAGGAGGTAAACCCAGAATTATCTCAAGTCAGAATCCTTGTTATTTTTTTGAATCTGAGAGTTTCATCGTAGTGGTTTGGTGAGTTTGGAGCAGTTCCCACAGAAATGAGGTTCACATGGTCAGAAAGCTCCTTAAGACTGATTATGTCATAAACTTGAAGCTTGACGTTGGCAATGATTCTCTCCAGACCCAGATATGAATTGAATAGGCATGATGAGCTTCCAGAAGTGAGCTTGTGACCTAAAATGTCCGCTTTCAGACTTGTAGAGTAAGACCAAAAAGTTCACTAGAACAAAAAATGCTGTCAAGATGCTGTTGTGCAAAGAACCTTATTACCAACTGTGTTTTATAACCAAAACGAGCATGCAGGCCTTTATTTATCCTTTCACAGATAAATAAAGGCTTATATAAATGAGGAACTGCTCTTATTTTAAACCCCACTCAAGAATCCAGAGAGTCTTTGCGCTGGTTTCCTTCCAGGCACGATACCAGAATCCACACCCTCCCCCTCCAGTAATCTATCTGAATATTTCTACGAGCTACGTTCAGCGAGCTGAATACCACAGGGAAGCATTAATGTCGCTTAACAAGATCTGAGTTTACAGTGAGTAACAAACAAAGAGTGGCCACTGCCTGTTCCCTTTTCTCATCCCTGTAAACTGTCTACTGAGTGCTGCAAACATTACATTCATCTGGCAGATGCTTTTGTCCAAAGTGACTTATAATAAGTGCATGAAGACACAGAAGCAAGAGCTAGATATCATTTACAAATGGAAACTGAAAGAGTGATAGATGGAGAACTGCAATCACACTTTTGCACAGGAACTTTTTCCTTCTCCCTAGCATCTCAATAAATGTAATATATGATCCACGAAGCCATACCTAATGCATGGCTTTTTCCATATCTATAAAAACGTTGTTATATAGTGAAACTACAGCAGTTAAAAACTTGAGAATACCTTATTTAACTGTGAGTGTGCTGCTACCTGCCATGAACTACATTTCCGTGTTTGACTGGATGTTTTTCAAACTGCATCACATTTAAAAACATTTAAAAAATATTTTTTAATTCATCACACGTATTAATGTAGCGTAATAAACTCTACAATACAATCTGCACCAGGTCAGCTCAGGATTGCCTAGCTCAGCTCATGTCAGATTACTCGAGCTGTGCTGCCTGACACATTAAGCCCCGTTTCTTTTTTCTTTTTTTTTCCCCCCCTTGAAACTTACAGACACTCACACATTGCTCATCCTTTATTGTGCAGTTCAGTCAGGTTTATAAGTCATCTACTGTGCATTCAGAGCCTGCTTCCACCTCTCAGTTCAGTGTGGTTGGGTTGCGTTCAGCTGAGCTCTGCTCGGCTCTCAGGCTGCCTGTGTTCGGTGACATCAGCCTTCAAGTATGCAGTCCTTCGTGGCTGAGCCAGATGAGATCGGGTGGCCCCATTCATCTCAAGGTGCTGTCTGCTCCCCTCCTCTACAGCTTTTTAACACTCATTTTCAGTTCAGATGGGTTACACAAGCCAGATCAAAGGTGAAAATGCTTACAACCCAATAGTTTTGTCTGCCAGTCTTTGACTTGTTGTGTATCGGGAATCTTTGCGCTTTCAGTTCCAGGATGCTCTCCTCTAAATCCACATTGATTACAAAGTGGTTGTGCACAGCCTCTGCAATAATTTACAGTAACTGTGGTGAATGGATATAATTTTTAGTCTTGCTTACAGGTTTTGGCAGTGCTGCCTGTACAATTCTATGTGTTTGTGTTGGGAAGCGTGATGATGTAGTGGCTAAATCACCAAAAATGGTTATATATCATTTATTCACATTGCTTACACTACTGCGTCTGTGAAAACCCATCAATGCTGGAGCAATAGAAAGGAGTTATATTGAAGTAGTGATTTATTATTGTGAAGCGCAGCTAAACTTACATCTTGCAACTATAGAAGTGACTTTTACTCCAAGCTGATGATGTATATTTTCCATACTTCATATATAATAAATGGTTGAGTGACATACTTTCCCCAGTTGTGTCTTTTAAAGTACAGCAATTCCCTGTGTAGAAATGTCTGAAGTTCCTCGTGCTTATGAAGGATTATTCTTCAAGCTCATCCTCACAGCAGCCCCTGATTACCAAACTCATAACGTGGTGGATGGGTTTTACATTTACAGAATGAACAGAGGGTCTTTGATGTTTACTTGCAGAGGAATGTGAGTGCTCCGGTGTCTGTGCCATCCAGCACTTCCTACCTCTCTTACTAATGTGTTCGCCATGTGTTTTCCTCACACGCACCAGACTTCTAATGGTTTGTTTTGTTTTGTGTCTTTCAGAATGAAGAGAAGCGTAATCTCAGTTTGGGCGGCCATGTTGGATTTGACAGCCTCCCTGACCAATTGGTCAGTAAATCAGTCACACAGGGCTTTTGTTTCAACATTCTGTGTGTAGGTGAGTAATAAACACTGTCTGCACAATGACAAAACGTGATGTACGTTGTGTAAAGCCAGTCGCACAAATGCATTGCTGTATCTACTCAGCACGTCTCTAGAGTCCCTTTGCCCCGATCTCTACTTGATTTACTTCCTTCTAAACAACATGTTTAGCTGTAGAAAATAGCGGCATCATGTTGTTTTCCTTGACATGAGAGAAATACACAGGCCTCTCTGTTGCATTCCTGCAATAAAAACCCGTGTCTGAAAGCTGATGAATTGCTCCCTGGTGACTGAGTAATTTAACTCTCTTTCTCTCTCTCTCTTTCTCCGCCTCTTGTTTTCTCTGCCTCCATCCATTCACAGGCGAGACTGGTATCGGAAAATCAACATTAATGAACACACTCTTTAACACCATGTTTGAGAACGAAGAGGCGAGCCATTACCAGAACGGCGTGTACCTGCGGCCGCGAACATACGACCTGCAAGAAAGCAACGTCCACCTCAAACTGACGATTGTAGACACCGTTGGCTTCGGCGATCAGATCAACAAAGAGGATAGGTGAGGATGGTCAAATTATGATGTGATCGTGTTTGGTCATGTGCTGGTGTACAGAGCCTTTGGGGAAGAAGTAGACTATGTTTAAGATTTCAAGATTTTTAGATAACTAGGATGCAAATAGTTTAAATAGCTACTCTCATTTAGTATAAAGCAAGTCCTTGCTGCAGGTTAGTCATACAACAAATGAAAGAAAGAAGTAAGTCTAGCCTTAAAATATCATGTTGCCATCTAATTTTGTCTCATTGTTAAGTCTTACACCTTGACCTTTCTTGACCTGCTCATCACCAGAACAGTGAGTTTGAATTAAGACAAGTAACGGGCTAAATCATGCCAAAAGTAGCATTTACAGAATCAGGACTGTTTTGAAATATTCTGATGTAAAGTACTCAACATATTGTTAGTCAAATGCTCTTCATCTGATACTTGGAGCACATGTATGAAAAACATGCTTCATTGTGGTTTCCATGTGACTCATGACCGATGTGACAACATATTTTCCTGTCACATTTTGTCCAAACCGTACTATTCTGTTTGCTAAAAGACAATAGTTTTACCGACATGTTGCCTCGGGATACAAATGAGAGAAACAGACACAAGCCAGTATCACTCCAGACTTCTGCGCATTTTTCATGTCTCCGTGGGATGGAAATAGCATGAGGTGGGAGAGATAGAAAGAGGAAGTTGTTGATTTTTTTATTTATTTATTTTTTTAAACATTCAGCTGTGGTATGAAGCGTACTTGTTGTGGCCTAGCCAGCAAGCTGCACTCTCACGCCCTTTGATAGCAGCTTTCTCTGTAGGCCGTATAAACCAACATGCTGAAGGACAGACCCTGCAGCGGACTGTAAATGCACACTGAGAGAGCTTCAAAAGGTCAGAGTGGGTGCATTCCACAGGGAAGATTGAAGATAGATGTGAAAGGAGAGGACAGATGACTGTAAACATGGTGCTGGCTGAGGAAATAAAATAGATTTTTGACTTATGTCTCACTCTTAGCTGTAAAATATCAGTGATGTGGGACATCCGGGGGTTGAGAAGTAGACAACGTAGAGTAATATTCAGGGTTAACTGACCTATGTAGCAAAGATGTTTGTGTTTTATGGGTATTGATGACAACACTCAAGCCCTTAACTTGAATATAACATTATAAACTCTGTACTTGGAGCCAAAGTTTGCCATCTTTATTGGCACAAAGGAGCCACTTGGTATCAAATGTCAAAATCTGTTTCCTTATATCCCTGAAACTGTATATTTTTTGGCTCATCTCTTTCAAGTTCTTAAGTTCTTACTTGTAAAGGCAAAAGCAAAATATTGACACTTTTACTGTCATAGGCACATTTTAGACATGAGGATATGGGTTTTATTTCAGTCACTTTAAAGCACTTTGAGCTAAATGCGCTGCACTTAGAAAGCGCTTCTCTACCTCAGCAGTACTTAAAGCACTTTACAATGCTTCTCATTTACACACTTACACACTAGTTGAAAGAGTATCTTTGGTTTCAGTGTGTTGCCCAAGGACAGTTAGAAGGTCTGGGGGTCGAAACAGCACATCTTCGATTAGCCGACAACCTGCTTTTCCCTCTCTGAGCCACGGCCGCCCGGGGAGCGAATATACAGAGGAATAGGGGTCTGTGTCTGAATATGGGTTCAAGAGGTGTGCCAGACTTTTGACACTGCTTGCAATTGCTTTTAAACATGTTTGCTTTTAAATCTTGCCAGTGAGAACTCAAATATATCAACGTGACATGAACAGCGCAGTTTGTCTGGGAACTACAGCAATGTCTGTTCAATACTGGCAGAACTGTGGATGGCAGACAAATTTACTGAGTGTCTCATACACATATTATCACAACAAAATTATCATAATTGCAGAGATACATCGTCTGAAAATGACTAGTGGTTTCATGATATCCAAACTATGACAGTTGGACTTTTTTCTGTGGTGACAGATGAACCACAGTGCTTTCAGTTTAAAGCAACTTGCATTTCAGGCAGCTATGATTCACTTTATTAAGTATGTGACTGGCTTCTAATGGTCTTTTTGTCGCGAATTAAATGAGTTAAAGCTGCAGACTCAAATTATATACATATATATGTTTGTTTTAATAAAAGGCGTTTAACATGTACCAATATTTATTAGAAAGTAGCTGTGATAGTAGTTGTAAATAACAGTATAGTAGTAAAGCACATTCATTCTCTGTTCATTAACACTAGAACTACCACTATAAGTATGTTAGAGAGAATTTTAGTGAAATGCTGATATGTTTCCATGCCATAAATGGAAACATAATTGTATCTATCTAATTTATAAGGGTGGATAATCTTTATCATTGCAGCAACACTGCTATGTCGCTGATAGGTGAATTTTAATTGATTTCTAATATAGGTTCTGGTAAGCATTCATGTCGGTGATACACAGTGTTGTGTTTCATTGATTTACTTTTGACACTGTAGGCTCCCAAGGCACAGCTCTGTGAGAGAGGACAGAATGTGTTGCAGCCACTGTGATTAGTTTCAACCAGACTTGCATAAGCTGAACTACTCAAGGCAGAGATCTTGGCTTTGAATCAGATCACACGGTTACTGAAAACATAAGCAGCTCAGTTTATTTCCCCAGTGACAAGTCCGTATTTCCTTTTATATTCATTACCAATGCATGAATAAGAAGACAAATATTTTCGCTTTTACCACAGACATAAATCCTAACAGTTTCTCTTTGGTTCTCTCCACAGTTACAAGCCCATTGTTGACTACATTGACACTCAGTTTGAAAACTATCTCCAGGAAGAGCTGAAGATCAAACGCTCGCTGTTTAACTACCACGACACCCGGATCCACATCTGCCTTTATTTCATTGCCCCGACGGGACACTCCCTTAAGTCCCTGGACCTTGTCACAATGAAAAAACTGGACAGCAAGGTACACAAAAGTGATACACACACCTCCATATACGTGTTTTGATTTTCCCCCTCTGGCAACACACACACAAACACACACACACACACACACACTCCTGGTCCTTTCCCATTGTTTGAATAATGCTGGCTGCTGTAATCCGACCTCCTGTTTGCTGTGACTGGTGTGAATGTCACTGAGACGTGGAGATCCCTGATCTGTCTGCCAGGGCGTGGACTCTCGGTTTCCAAAACCTATAAAGGTAAAAGAAAAATGTTCCAGTGAACAGGCAAGTTTCCATTTCAGTGTATAGGATTTCAAGACGAGTTGACATGGCAATCTCTGGGGTCAACTAATTTGGCTGTTTCTGTGGAAAATGATTAATGCTTACACTTTAACAGCCCTCTGTTAGCATTTTCAGAACTAAAAGCCAACACATGGCATGTTGCCAGTGAAACATATTTGATTTGCTGTGTAAAGAACCAAATATAATTTTTCAAATTCTCACTCATAACAAAGACAGTTAAAACCAACTATTTATTCTGAAAAAACATCCTCATCATTCCTATCTGGGTTCCAGTTTGACATATTTACAGTTGTTTACAGGTCAACACACAGCTTCATACCAGTCAATAGTCACATTCAGACACGCATTGATTTGTGGGTTTTTCATTGGGCTTGTGAAAGTATTGCAACACAGATTATTGGCTGGTGGATGTGGGTATTGCCATACATCCGATGAGTGCAGCTCACTGCGGATACAATTACTGGTGTTGCTTCACTTCGATAACTGGTTGAAGAAAATCTCATCACAACAGCACTTGGAGCGTGAATAAAAGGAGCATGACTTGTAGCTGGAAAGTCAGGAAGAGCCAGCAATTCAACTTTTAGGTCAAAGTTGGAGCTGTGTTGTATGTAAGATTTTACTATTTAGTACATTTTTCTGGAATTTGTGTTGTGATTTAGGTCGCTACTTATTTCTGTGGGATTTCTAACGATTTTGGTATAGTAACACATACAATGTGTAGGTTTTTCATCCTAAATCACGGTTTCATGGGAATTTCAGGAAGGGAGGAGATCCTTAAAACTTTTTAAAACATATATTCACAAAGCCCAGAGGAGAAGGCATGACAGAAAGAGGCAGTTAAAATCCCAATGCAAAGATTTGTGTCTTTTGCTCTGTATGAGCTTGTTTAACCTTAAGGGCAATAAGGAGAGAAAACGACACTCAGGATTTTATTGACTACTCTATGTTGGAAAGGTGTGAAATATTTTGTGGATCAGCAAACATCTACTTTTCACTCTGTGTTTGGCTTTGACGTCTATAAGCACCTAAACTGAGAAAGCTGCATGTGGACGACAAAAAGCTGTTCATGTCTTTGCGTGCACATTTGTATCATTTTACAAATTGCAACATTATAAGGTTCTGTATTTGTTACGTCATTCAAACTGATCTACAGCACCCCGACCCTGAGAGGTTTTATTTACTGCTTCCATGGTATTTCAGTGTATATAAAACCCCTGATAGCACTGCTGTAAAAATGACAAAGTGTCAGCTTGTTTCCACTGATGCAATGATAATATATCCAGTAGAAGGCAGATGGTCAGCTTGTGACCAAAACCTGCTGTCTTACCTCTGCCAACTATCAACGCACGGTTGCACATTTCTGCCAAATGTCTCCTGGTACTATTCAGAAGATGCTCAGCCAAATGTCACTCTTAAGGGGCAGTTAATAGTTTTATGAGGACTTTAGAACACGTAGTACACAGAGGCTCTTAGCTATATTTTTTGCGTCTCAGTGCACACATTTGATTTCATATTTCACACACACAAAAAAACCCATTTTGTTTTGTTTAGGTATTTTCATTGTTGTTTAATTCTCTCTTTTCAATGCTTTAATTTTTCACAATTTACACAATCTGTTTTTGTAAATGATTCCTACAAGGAAACCAGAATGCTGTTCTGACCTTAGAGGAAGACTGCACACATGTCAGAAAGCACAGAGATCCAAATTCAGGGCTTTTCTGACTGTGAGATGATGGTGCTGACCACTGAGCCTCTCTGCTGTCTTTATCAGCCAACGGAGTGATCAAAACCTGGCATGCTATGTTTGCCAACTGTCTTCCTGACGCCATCCAACCCACCACAGCCTACACAGCCAAATCTCTGTGCCCCCTGCTTTAAACCGAGACAGACTAACTTACCTGAGCTAAAGATGTTATCTTTATAGCTGTGCATGAACCACATCAAAGCTGTCGACATGAGATAAATTTGTTTGGCAACATATAGCAACTAACGCACTGCACTCTTTGGTAATATGAGTGAAAGCAAAGCAGCTTACCACAGCTAAATCTCCCCATAGTTTCATTAGCCACTTTTTTTTTTCTTCTGAACCTCCAGTGTGGCTATGGGGGACATTTTAGTTACTCACAGGCCTCTTTCAGTTGCTCGGCATCGGAAAGTGCTTCAAGTGTAAAATAACAGCAAAGTTGGCAGACACTTTTATTGATAATGATTTACAGCGTTGTGAAAGCAACAATGGACTCGTCGGAGTGGGTGGTCATGGTGAGTGCCACTCCGACCTCAGTGGCTTCGTCCCAGCAATCTTTCCACAATGTGCAATATGACCGCTGTTTTATCTGAAAGCAAGCCAGTGATGAGTGACCACAGTGTGGCTGTGACACTGTTTTGTTTTACAGAGCAAATGGGCTGTATGCAGTGGTCTCTTTCTAGATAGTCTTGCAGACAGTCTTGGCAGCAGCTGCAAACCAAAAAATAGTCAGCGTCTCGTAGTTTTCTCTGTTATTTGTAAATTCTGGGCCCTTTATGTCTGCAGAGTGACCACAGAAATTACCTGCTCTGCTTCCACAGACAAGACAAAGGCCCAGCCAATTTACAAATGCATTAGTGCTTTCACAATGACTTCTTTTCAAATCAGTGAGTCATTTCATTGCACTACCTATTTTTCAGCTAACTGATTCCCTGTCTAGTCTATTAAATGCCAAAAATAATTAAATATACACATATTCATAAGTTTCCAGACAACAGAGCAGCAGCTTCAGATTTTTGTTTTCTCTCTTCTTCAGTCAAAAACCAAAATATATGCAGATGTAAAATTAAGAACATCAGCAAAATGAAAAATATTTTCAAATTGATGGTGATTAAATTCTGACAATCCATTATTATTATGATTGTTTTACACTGAAATCAGTCAAACAAGTGTTACATTCTGGTTGCCATACATTTCAGTGAGAGGTGTTTAAGGGATGGCTCCATCGTAATGAGAACTACATTTCCATCCACAGTCACATTTTTGCCTCCTGTGCAGTTATACTCGTGTCAAAGACTAGTAGTGTAAATATCAAGTTTTATCTGGAAAGTAAAGATAAATGAACAGAGCTGTCTTTTCTGCCAGATAGCCCTGTCACAGGAAAAACCAGGGAAACGGACCAGAAACAGCTTTTCCTTCAGTCTGTAGATTTTGCTGTCAGACCTAGACAATGGTGTTTTTCTTGTAAATGGGGTACAAATCACCCCTCCCTACAGATGATGGTTGAAGGCCCAGCAGAGCGAGTGTGGTTTTTGGTGGATGAAGGCAGGAAAAGAGATAAGAGTTTAAAAGAGGTGTCATTTGACTTATTTTACTGTATGAGAGGAAATTTTTACCCTTTAATCATCAGATCTTTGGATGTAGATTATTCAGTTTGCTGTGGTCACTTGGAAAACAAGGATTGATTTTTCCTGGTAATGTTTAAAATGGCTCATAATTTGCACTACAATCAGTCATGTCACTTGGGGGATATGGTATGTTGTGATTTACTGTTTTTGGTTTAGATTGTTTAGCCAGTTTGCTCCAGATTAGAGATTTTCAAACTAAAATTGAGTTGAAGGGAGGCACGGAGGGAGAGACATGACACAAAGATACTGAAAAGGAAAGTTACATGTCGATGTTCCAAACATTTGTTTCAGTTTGGCGTACTTATCAACACAGCCAGCACATGGAGCTGCTTTAAAACCCATACTGCCTGATTACTGCAATTTGCAGATCTATGCAAGATGTAATACATATATTCTTAGACTTGAATGTGACTTTACGCTGTCCAAGAATATCAATATCCATAAATGGCCATAAATCAGCTTAGAAATCAGAGGAAAAAGGACAAGAACTGGCTCACAACTATCATAGTTTAATTTTTTTGTTGATCCAGGAATAGCTGCGGGCACATCCCCATTACCACTACAAATAGCAGCTTCCAACAGCTACTCTGGCATACTTTTTAATCATGCCAATTTTTAAGCAAATATAGGTTAAAAAAGTTAAATAACTGACTCCATGGCAACATTGTACTTCTGTTTACAGGCCCGAAAGTCCCCAAATGATGGGAATGTTAATTCCCAAAATGTAGCTGAGCAGCTGATTGTCCCCCACAGTACTCTATAACTATTTTTTGTCTTTATTAAGGCTCACACTGTGTCATTGTGTGTTTTTTTTATCCACTGAACACTGACACACTTCTCTGCACATTCATGCATATTTGTCCTATGTAAGATTAAAGCATACGGTACTGCAAATATCTTTTTTTCCCCCAATGATTATCTTACATGTGAACTGCTTTAATGCGGTTACAGCTGGTGTTCCTAGTTGTTCAGAACAAACACCAAGAACTATTTAGGACTGCTCTTTGGTCAGCTGGGAAAACCCAGTTGTGGGAAGTGAACAAATATCGCTGTCCCCTCCTTCCTCAGTGACCATTAAGTTCCATCTGCTTCAGTGGCCATACGAGGCTGCTGGATAGCGATTAGTGAACATGGTTTCTTAAATAAGGGTTAAAGCATGATACTGGCCGCCCTGCTGCAAATTAATGATCCAGTAAAGTATGATGAGGTTGTAATTTGACTCCTAACAAGCCCTAGCTTTTTGCTCAGAGGCACATTGTGGAATTGATGAGTGAAACTGTGGGAGTCCACCCCATCTTCCCAGTTGGTGATTTGGGTAATGCAGCCATACAGAGGAATGCAGACAAACGGTGTTTATTTCTGCACATATGCTGGTGATTGTAAATGGAGCTTCGTTTGTTTTCATAATCGCTGTTTGTTTAATGTATCTGTTGGGACTGAGCTTATTCAGCTTTCAGTTTTCCTGCATATGGTCTTGTATGCTTTCACAGACATTTATAACTTCAGTATGTTTAATTCCCTTTTTTTTTTTTTTACACTGTTTGTGCATGAACTGCTAACAAATAGAAGTGCTGCCGTCTATAATTTACTGGAAACATTTGGTAGATTCCATTTGCATCTTCCTATCTCTGAACTTAACAGATAAGTTTTGTTCTGTCAACAGTGATCATCATTAGGCAAGAAGATGCATGCCACACCAGGTTAAACCAGACCATTGCATAACAAATTCCGTAATGCACAACACAAAGCGGCTTTCGGTACAAGAATGCATTAACATTTTTGGCAGATTCAACCACAAAACCAAAAACAGTACAATGCTGCACATATTTAACCCCACTACTTGCTGTGTTTCTCATCCTTTCCTCAGGTCAACATAATCCCCATCATTGCCAAAGCAGACACAATCTCCAAGAGCGAGCTTCATAAATTCAAAATAAAAATTATGAGTGAGCTCGTGAGCAACGGCGTCCAGATCTATCAGTTTCCAACGGATGATGAAGCTGTGAGTGAGATCAATGCCTCCATGAACGTAAGTTGCTACTAATCTTATTCACCTAATGTACGTGGAAACATATGTCTACACTGGTGTTGTTGTTGGAAATACAAATAATGGCTTTCTCAGAGTTTTTTTTACACTTTTTGTAGTATTGTAGCGTTATATATCTGTGTGCCTAGTAACAAAGCATTTTCAGCACCACATGTGTTGCACATCTGGTAACAGCAGCATATGATGACACCATGTTTGCTTTTAACACATGCTGAAAAGATAATGCGTCTCTCATGTAGACACTTTGCAGTCCAATAAGTCTATTGCTGTTTACTAAAAAAATACAAAAAATATTTGCAGGCACTAGACTTCCCTTGGCCTGCAGTTGCATGTCGCTTAAATACTCATTATGCATAGTTTTACGCTTAACACATTTATTGCACCAGTTTCCCATTTTTTCCTTCCACATAAAAAGTGTCTGAACTTGATGAAAGCACACACTTTTCTTTGACGGGCCTTATAAGTTTGTTTATATATTTTCCTTATGTGAAAGCAACAGTTAATTAGTAGTTTAGAAATTCTGTCACAACATACTAAGAATAAATTGCATGTTGCAATATAAATAAACATAAACTGGTGACTTTTGCACAAGCAAAAATGCATCTTCTCAGAATATTTAGTCATTTCTGATGATATATTAGTGGTTAGACACACACCCACACATGTAAAAATGCACAAATGGTAAATTCTCTTCGGATAAATAAGACTGCATTTGTTTCTGCGAGGCACTGTCCTTGTACAGTATCCCGATCTATTCATAGTCGCTTACATCAGCGCCCACACTCACCAGCTTGTTCCTCTGTGCTGCAACCAGCCAGCTGGTTTCAACTCACCATCTAATTTTTGAGGTAGCGTATTGGGCAATGTTTCCCTTATGATGCCCCACTGTTGGTCTTAACGAGGCTTAGTAGCTCTGAGAGCAATAATAAAGTGTGTGTGAGTGTGTTTAATCACTTAAATAAAATAGGCCTCTCAGCCCCAACTGAGCCACATGTTAAACTTAAAACAGACCTCTGGTGTAGCTCATATATAAACTTGGTTACACTCCGCTCTGGTGTGGTCTGGTTGTGAAAGATAAGAAGGTCGGCAAACAAATTGAAACAAGTCTAAATTGTTACTCTTTTTGTTTTTTTATTTGGTTCTACACAACAAGCTAGTGAAATTTAGCTTGTAAAACCGTTACTGGGCTGTGACGTATATTGGCATGAAGTAAACAGGAAAACAACGCTTTAAGAAAGTGTAATCCACAGGATGAGTAATCCAGGAATGAGCCCCTGGTTATGACTCCGATTACAACTGGACCTCTTGTATTTGTTAACGCTCGAACCTGTTTTTCTGTGCAGGCCCATCTGCCGTTTGCAGTGGTCGGGAGCGTGGAAGAGGTCAAAGTGGGGAACAAAACAGTGAGGGCCAGACAGTACCCCTGGGGTGTTGTGCAAGGTGAGAAGAGTTTACAAGAAAGTCAATCACGATGTGTCTGTTTGTGTTTCTCAAGCCAACGTTACATGAAGGAGACAGCTGTGGTTTAACTCCAGTCTCCAGGCTGCTACAGAATGAATGCACAGAAGGAGCGATTAGTACTATTATCATAGCACAATTTTCTTAACAAATCTCTCAAGTTAGTGGGCTGATCTTGGGAAAAAATAGAATTTACCTAGAAAAATAGCTCTGATATAATGAGTTAATTCCATTGTGTGCCATTTAGTAATTACTCAGCCACCTCTTTCTTGTCACTAGCTCTAAACTGTTAAGTGATGACTTCTCTAGTCTTTCACGAAGCAACAAAAAGGTCTTGCACTGTAGCTTCCTGTGGCTTTGTCACTGGGAGGTGACAAGTTTGACAGCTTAACATCATCTGCAAAGGCAAAATGAAGACACTTGTAGTTATAAATAGTTTGGATACTAACTAGTTTCTTACATGTGTGGAGGTGACAATGCTGCCTAGTCTGTATATACACTCACTGTTTAACATGAGATTTTGACACTTCAGATACTTCTCAAACGAGCAAGACACCGTGTCAGTACTTGACCTGTCTCATTTTGCCATTACATGGGTTTGCATTCGTAGTGTTTTCTTGTTTTTTTCTGAAATGAGTCTAAAAGTGGATATGGTTGTATGATTCTTGAGAGGTTATGTGGCTTTACAACTTTGTTTTGGTGTTTGTGTGAATGTTTTGGCATATTAAGAGGCATCCCAAGCGTTGGGTGTGTATGCAATGACACAGTAAAAACTGCAGCTATAATAATTAGCCATTGCAAAGAAAATTAATCTGCACCTATTTTGATTATTTTTAAGCAAAAATGCCACACTTGTCAAGTTTTCCTTTTATAAATCATAACAAATGAACTATCTGTGTCAGACAAAGCAAACACTTAGCAGCAACATCAAATCACATGATTCATCAATAATTAAAAACAGTGTAGGAACTGTTGTAATGGACAGGCTTGTTGTTTGGAGGATATATTACTCAACATCTCAGGGTCTGTCAGTATCCTTGATGAAAGATGTTTCCTGCTCATGGCGGAATGACGAGCGCATCCCACAGTTTGCTTGTTTATTTATACCCGCCCTGTTAATGCAGCATGCCCGCCACAGATGAAAGTGTGACTTCATGCAGAGTGACACTGAAATGAAGGGCGAGCGGGTAAAGATTGTTTTGCAGAGCTGCCAGTGTGTGTCTTCGTGCACTTGTGATATGTATATTAATATTGTTGTCCTCCCTTTATGCACTGAATGTTCCAGTGTGTTCATAGCATGCATGTGTGGCTGTAAGTTGGCTTGCTTGCATTGCCCATGGAGATGTCACCTCTTGTGTTGTCTGAGGTTTCTTGGGACTTTGCTTTTCCCACAGATCAATTCTCTGTGCTTGTCAATGATGGTAAACAGTTTAATTTAATAATGTCACTCAGGGCTGTGCTGTGAGAATATTACTACTCACGTGGGAGTTATCCTGTCAGAAAGCTCTCTTTCTCTCTCTCTCTCCCCCTCCCTCCCTTCCTTCTTCCTTCCTCTTTGGTTTACTGCTCTCTTGCTCACTCTCTCTTCCTTTCCTCTGTCCCTTATCCACTGACCACTCTCATTCCCCAACCCTCGGAGGACGCTCTTTGGTTATTTATAAATCCTGCTGTGAGTGTGTCTCCTGGGGGACAGATTTCTCTGGACTCCGTCACTCACTGCGAGGCTACAGTCCAGTCTGGTAAAAGACAGATTAGTGCTGTCCAGAAAAAGTTATCTCAGCTTTACTCTGAGCTCATGTCTTTGGGTCCCCCCCCCCTGCAATTGTAACAGATGTTTTTCACCACTCTCCAACGTAAGAATACACAGGTAGAAGAAGGTATATTTACATATATCTGTGTCCAACTACATCATTGTGTGTTAGAGTTGTATTTCGCAACTATATTGCTTTCTTGTCTTTATTGACAAGGTTATGATGGAGCTAATTTCATTTAATTTTAGATTTCTAAAGAGTAAAATCCTATAATCCTTATTTGTATCTACATATATACACTGGGGTTAATGTTAAGGAGGGACAATGATGGGGTCATTGTTAACTTTTCAACAACATATTTTGAAAACCAGTTTGCAGCTTACTGTGAAGAAGACACCTCTTGACTTTGCACCAATGTCTGCTCAGCATTGGTATGTACTCTGCTACATGTGCTGCATACAGTGTTGAGAAGGTTGTAAAGAAGCCAGAGTGCACTCTGCTGGACAAAGTGGGTGATGACACCTTTTCTAAATTACCCCAAGTATGTTTTTCTGCTTCATGCTCTGCACAAGAAGAAAAAAAAGGTTTTTGTATAGGACAACATATGTGCTGATACTGATAATTCTACGAAAGGCTAATATTGGTCGTTAATGTAGCTAAATCTACATTTGTAATTTTTCTCAAATAGTGAAGCTTTGTTTACCCCAGTTATTTAGGTAAACTTTGGAGTAAAGCAAGGCCATCTGTACAATGATGATAATTCGCTTGGATGAGGCTGTCATATTATTTATAGGAAACAACCAATGATACGCTGTTGGGGAACAAATCGTGTTAGAACCAAGAGGAAATATATTTCTGAAGCACTTCATTTTTTTGCTCTTTGATTGTGTTATTTTCGACATCTGATCATCTTATCAACATCATCCATCTTTGGTTCACAAGAAAAGCGTGGACTGATGGGATGTAATGCAAGAAAACTGTTTTTCTTTTTAGTCATGCCTGTTTTCACGCTAATGGTTCATCAGTCACACAGCACACTCCGTTACAGTATCTGAAAACAGATTCAGGGGAGGACAGAAGTCTCTGTGTTTTACAACAGTCGCTGACTGAAAGAAGGGTCTCTGTCAGTGGAAACAGTTTGTAGTTGCCAGATGTCATATAGATGGGTTATGGTAACCTCTTGAAGAGTCATGAGAAATTTCCATTGACTTGAAGAAAGACAGAGGAAGGACTGTCTACTGACAAAAAGAGTTATTGAAGGGGGCTTAGTGCGGCTGTGTTTATCTTCCCTCGTGATCTTATTGCTCTGTTATCTGTGAACTCCAGACATCTGTGACATATAGCAGACCCCTGGTTTTTCTTCTCTGCAGGCTATTGTGTGTTTTTTCCATTGTGCACACATGTTGCAGTAGGTGCTTGTATATGAACATGGATGTCATTCAGCACTGACTCTGAGTCTCAGTTGTCTTTTTGGGTGGTTCATTCACACTGGTTCCTGTGGTGAGAAAGGCACAGGATTAAAAACATTTTTTTATTGTCAATATTGCAACTATATCTACCCAGAAATTACAGAAAAACTAGATGTTGAATTTGTTTTGTTATGTTTTTTTATTTGATTTGGTGTTGCTAACATGATTGTATTTTATTCAGTTATGTAATAACATTGCAACATAATTTCACTGAGAGCAGCCAAATTATGATATTGAATGATCGCTCAGCCTTAGCTTGAGTCATTATTCAACTTGGTTGTCAACTAATGAGAACCCATTCATCATCCGTGCGTCCTCTGTAGTTATAGGATAGATGAGTATGTCCTCAGCAGCTTTATGCGTAAGTAAAAGTCAAGGGCAGACAGAAAATAAACTATGACGCTCTGAGACACTCCACCATCCAACACTGTACAAGGGCAAAAAGGGCAAATCAGAGAGTAAAATGATTTAATTAATGTTCTAAAGGTCTGTATGAATGAAGACAGACCGACCAATGACATTATAAGTATCTAAATTGTGAAAGCTGTTCAACTAATGTGTAATACAATTTTTTTAAATTACATATTTTCTGTAAATTTTGCTAAAATCTCACACAAAACTACCAGATTTAATAACACCATTTAGGATGTAGCTTTAGAGTTGCTGTTTTTTTTGTTTTGTTTTTGTAATAATTGTGTTTGTTTACGACTCAAAACATGCCTCAGCATTACCAGAAATACAGGAGCAGAAAATCAGCTGACGACAAATGCATCATTTTGATGTTCAACATGCTGTTTTCGATGTCTGTATTCACTTATGTTTGAAAACTGTAGCTTTATTTGCTGCCATGTCTCTGTTCTCCTCTGTTTGTATGTTTGTGTTTTCACGCCGTTGTGTGCTTGTGTCTGTCTGTCAGTAGAGCTCTGTGCTCAGATGTCTTGAGGGCTCAGTGCTGCAGTCAGTCAGAGAATTGGCCTTCATTCAGCCCTCAGCGGGGGGCCCAGTACAGAGAGACTATTAGATGCCAAATGAACAGGCAATTTCAGTAGCCTGGATGCAGCCCTAAAGATCTGTTCATTCCTTTTTTTAACTCATGTTCGTCCACTAATGATGTGTGTGGTTAACCACCAGATTTGAGCAAAAATACGAGAGGCTGAGTCATGCAGCTGCATCACAACTACTGTTTCACATTTTTAAAATTTATTTTGGGTTTTTTTGAGTTAGTTAGTGGTTATTCACTTGCGTTTTTGTTCCAGTCTAATAAAGGGCAGGCTTATGTTTTGTTTTGAGGCTAGGATGTTTGGCTCCTCCAGACACTGTCACTGTTGTGTCGCATTCTTGTTATGCGACACTGTGGTTCGCTGTCGTGCACTGCAGGCTGCTTTCCCAACATTTTCCATCAGGAAGAGCTAAAGGCTGGGCTAATTGGGCCTTTTGAATGTCACTGTTGTTGTCTTTACATCCTCGAAGCTCACAGCGTGGGATGGTATTTAAACACAACATACATTCCATGACCTACCACTGCTACCCTGGGATCCATGGCAGTACCTGAGAGGCCACATGCCTTCAGTCTGCACGTGGCCTTGGCCAGCACACACACACCAGATGTGAGACAACTGAAGTCATCTTTGGAGCATCTACCTGAGTTTTGCCAACAGGTTGATGACATTAACTTCCAACAGTTCTGTCCTAGTGAGTCATTTTTTTTATAGTTTCTTTGTGGTTTTGTAGCTTTTCCAACATTAGTCGACCAGTTTATCCAGTTATGCTCTTGACCACAGCTGCTTCTGGTTGTGCTCCAGATGGTTAGTACGTTGCAGAAGTTGGACTATCATTTCTAAATTAGTGGTGATTGAGCAAATAAATAATTAGCAGACTCTGAAGGTATTATCAAGAAAAACAAAGGAGTGTTTTTTTATTTTTTTTCCTGATGAGAACACTGCTGGATATAATCCTACAGAAACGATCCTGGCTACACAAGTTTGAAAAGTCCTTAAAAGCAGCGTTTGGTTTCCTCAAAAACAAACCAAAAACCCTAACACATTAGAACGCATTTAATATGTTCTCTTGTCTGCCATAAGTCGTAATGTTAGTTCTAAGTAAAGTATTTTTTGGATGATTGTTGGGCTTTCAATCCTTTTTTGTGGAATTTCCCTTGGCCTGTAGCAAGAATAAGCTTAAATTAATATATTGCTTTTTATTGGTTGGTTTGGATCATGAAACAAGTATTACGTTCTGTATGTGACTTGGTGAACGCTATGACGAACTATTTGCTTTATGTGTATTACCATATCATTATCCACTTAAAAAAAAAAAAAATCCAACCTAGAAACAGATTCATGATATGGATGAGTTTAGTCCACTTAAAATTTCTTTACATTTTTGCTCTTCTTTTACTGACCTCTGCTCTGGCCTCCAACTGAACAGGAAAATAAAAAAACTTTAATTTCCGGAACATTTTCTGGTGATGGACAAAAGTAAAGAGTAAAGTCTTCAAGAGCATGACGCCCAGGGCAAGCCCTCCCACCCACCCGCTGTCAGTCTGTCAGGCAGGAAACACTTCCTGCCCTTTCCCCACCATGAAGTCATTTAACTGTGAAACTCACTCACACATGAAGCTGAAGGGAAGCTGTTCAGACTTCGCTCTAGTTGCAAAACTTACCATAAAAAGTGCAAAATATGAAGTCTGATGGAAAAAGGAGGTGGATTTAAAAAAAAAAAAAAAGAGTTGTGTTTAATTTAATTACAGATAGTAGTGTGTATATATATCAGTCTGCACAAGTCAAATGTTAACTCTCTGGTGTATTCTGTGCAGACTGCTTCACATTCCTGTAGAGATGCGATATGATTTCCTGCTTTTAAGAAAAGGGAGGGTTAACAGAATGACAGATGGGGTGTTAAAATAAGTTACAAGTAGGAAAAATGACAGCCAGGCGTTGAATGAGAGCGAGAAGCAAAGACACACATTTTGGAACAAGACATGACTGCACATTTCAAAGCCTGACACGCTCATTAGCATGACGAAAACCAGTTTGTCAACACCAGTGCTGTCCATCATGGCAAAAATAATTATTATGATCGCCTGAAACAGCATTGATGTCCTGACAATGTGTATGTTTTTTCTTTAGTTGAGAACGAGAGCCACTGCGACTTTGTAAAACTCAGAGAGATGCTGATCAGAGTCAACATGGAGGATCTGAGGGAGCAGACACATGCCCGCCACTACGAGCTGTACCGGCGCTGTAAGCTGGAGGAGATGGGCTTCAAAGATACAGATCCTGACAGCCAGCCATTCAGGTAGAGAGAGACAGTGGACACACACCATGCAACACGTGCAGTGTACACAGTTTGAGTGCATAGAGTGAAAATGTGCAAACTCATGCACACACAAAATCCAGAACCACAAAGATACTTGTCTGTCAACAGCAGGGAAAGCCTCTATTGTTTACTGACAATCTATTTTTGTCCATTTTCTCTCTGTCCTCTCTTTTCTTCTCTGCAGTCTTCAAGAGACATACGAGGCCAAGAGGAAAGAATTTTTGGGGGACCTTCAGCGCAAAGAAGAAGAAATGCGACAAATGTTTGTCAACAAAGTAAAAGAGACGGAAGCAGAACTCAAAGAAAAAGAGAGAGAGGTCAGTCTGGACAAGTTCAGCTATAAATACAATATATTTGATTTTAAATGGGGACACTGCAACTTTAATGGCACTTTTTTGTGCAGAAGATCAGAATTTATAACTGCAGCATGTTGCACTTTTGATCACATTGAACAGCAAACATACATGTCTCATCAACTCATCAGCAAGACTTGGCTCAGCTTTACCAACTGTAGCATGTGATGTTGCTGTGGATACCTTATTAGCTAAACAAGACACTTAAGCTGTGTCCAAAATCTCCCTCTCTATATATGTTTACATATATATGTCCCTACCAGGCTTTGCATTTACTCTTCCATTTCATTTGAGTGCCGACTCATCCACTATAATAAAGCGCATCAAAAAAGAAGTGTCTCCAGCATGTACACTACTTTCTGTTAAAATTCTGCTAATGTATTGTGTCTCATTTTGTACAGAGCAAGCTGACTGTTGTGCTACTCAACAGCTAATGGTGTTGATGCACTAATGATTAGTTTACTATTGAATAAACTATTCAGTATCCACTGCACAGGGAGTAGTGAATGAGTGTTAAAAATCCCTCTCCAGTTGTCGATTAATCCACTAAAAACTCATTTGTGTGTGTCAAAGAAACATATTTACAACATTTTTTCATTAATTTATACCTTACAATGACCATAAAACAGCAAGTGTATATTAACATCATGTGCAAGACAGATGCCCACTGTTAAAATTCATATAGGTTTAACACTGGATTTAAAATTTAAAAAATCAAAGTTGCTTTTTTTTTTTAAACAGACATAGCAACATCTTGTCCCAGTCTATAATGGGACAGCACTGGGGTTGGTTGGCTTTGAGTCCTACACAAGTTGATATGAGCTAACTACTGACAGCAGTGACAGAAAATAAGGAACTCAAGACTGAAAAGCAATGAAAGCGAGGTCACTTTTGTATTACCCCTGGATGCAGCAGTGAATTTTATATTTAGATTATCTGTTTTGCCTCTTAAGCAGAAGGTGCGTCTTGATCTTTGGCTGAAACAAGAGACTCCTCCTTCACTAAGATGAAAATCTACACAGTTCTTTCCTATACAATGAGCACATCTTCTGTCGCATCTTCACTCACTTTTAAACAATTCAGTTAGTACAGTTCAACAACATCTGAAAAGTCTACATCCTCCGAAATTTTGATACGGTTGAATCAGCAGTTGTCAAAAACAGTTTTATCAGATACTGTTCTTAATACGGTTTGCTGCAGGGCTGCGTTGGTTTTCGCAAAGGTTACCAAATAAATTGACAAAACTCTGGCTCTGTAAGGTGTTCGGCTTTTATTCAACATCAGTTAGTGGAGTTTTGAAAACACTTTGCTGGAAGCAGCTGCCTTCTGATGGCACGCCGGTACTGTTGCTTTACAGCTGGGTTTGAATCTCAGTCGGTTAGGGCATGTGTGGAGTTTACATGTTCTCCGTGTGGCTGCGTGAGTTTTCTTAGGGCCCCAAGAGCTCCAGAGAGTAGAACCACAGGCCAGAAAACCAAAACCATGAGCGAAAACCAACTAAAAGGCTGTGGAGAGCTGCAGAATTAGAGGAACTCTCTGTCGGTTTCTCCACATGAGTTGCACCTTACCTTTGATGTGTTAAAAGTATTGATCAGTGCAATTGTGTCCCTTTCTGATTTCTCTGTGTCTTTTCTTGCCCACTTTGGTCTTCCACCTGTTGTCCTGGTCCTGTCTGTCCATCACCATCACCGCCCTCGTCTTCTCCCTCTCAGCTGCACGACAAGTTTGAGCAGCTGAAGCGGATGCACCAGGAGGAGAAGAGGAAGGTAGAGGAGAAGCGAAGAGACCTGGAGGAGGAGATGAACGCCTTCAACAGGAAGAAGGTGGCAGCTGAGACGCTCTCCTTATCTCAGCCCCTCAAGAAAGACAAGGACAAGAAAAAGTAAGGCAGTCCCTCCTTTCTATCACTCACTCCCCTCATTCTTCTGTGTAATACAGGAAGCTGCTTTTTCCAACCCTGCTCCTTTCTTTAAGTAATCCTCTAGCCGTTCATTGTGTGCCTTCACTCTTGAAATGCTGCCCCTTTTGTACGTTTGCTTCGCCTGCTTCTCGTTTTTCTATATAACCCTGTTACAAGTTAAGCAGGACGTGTGCATTGTGCTAAGTCCTGTGGAAAAGTGTCTTATTAATGAGCCTTTAATGGTGTGTGCTGTGCTGTTGTCGATCTATCTCCAACACACAAGCATTTCAGCTATTATAAAAGCCTGGCATACGTTAGGGAAACTTCTTCCCCTTTTTGTCCTGCCCAAGCTTAACATTTCCTGTGCTTTCACTCTTTCCTTTTGCCTCGCTCTAATTATTCAGGATACTCGGGGAGGAGGCGGTGAACTCACTCTCTGAGGCAGTAAAAAGCTTTTAAATAGGTGATGGAGAATTCAGCTCAGGCAGGGCAAAGCTGATTTTCAACAATGCTATGCTAATGGCGTACACCGTGTAGTTACAGTGGCGCAGGTGTAAAAGCTGTCTTTTCATGTTGGAGATCATTAACTGCAAATCATGTACTGCATGCTGTTTTTATTTCTTATGTGAGATGAATAGCAGGTAGAGTTATTATCACCAACAAACCTATTGTAGTGTTTGCTCAGTGGGCATTGTTTTTATAAATTCCTTCTTTAATTCTGTCAAAATCTTTAAAGATTCAGCAAAAATTCTGTAAAAAAAGCAAAACATTTTTTTCACTCCTTTGGAAGCTATTGCTGACTCAGCTGTGATAGACAGTCACATGACAAAAAAAAAAAATTCAGATTGAACTCAGCTGAACTGCAAGCAATGTTTACACACAGCATAAAGGAGACAAGTATGGAAACAAATTTAAAATGTAATAAGCAAAAAACTTTATTTTTGCCAGTATCGGTACTTGGAAAAATATTGTACATAAAGATTCCAAGATTTTCAGTTTTTGTATAATAAGTATTAGAAGAAATCCAGCTTTCATTTCATTTCAGCTTGTCCTGCATGTAAACACGCCTGTCCACATACTTTTGATCCAGGGCGGTTTCTTCTGGTTTGGGCTTGGCCCTTCAGTTCCATTTAAGTGAAATGTTAATGCTCCAGCACACAGTGATATTTACGACAGTAATAATGCTCTTCAAACTTGTTGCAGCATTGTATGTGTAGCCCTCCCCAGTTTCCACATGACAGCACCCCTGTGCACAAAGTGAGCTTCATGAAGAAATGGTTTTTCAAGTTTGCTGTGCAAGACCTTGATTGACTCGCCTTGAACTCAACCTCCTACGTGTTTTTGGATAAATTAGATGCCGACTATTGGCTAGGCCTCATCACCTAACATTAGTGCCTGACCTCAACAATAATCTTGTGGCTGAATGGGAACAAATCCCTGCAGCCGGCTTATAAAAGCTTGTAGAAATCCTTCTCAGAAGAGTGGAAGCTGCTGTGGCTGCATATTAATACGCTTGGTTCTGGATTGAGATGTGCAACAATAGCACATGGATGTAGTGTTCAGGTTTCCATATTCTTGTCATTGTATTGTATAACAGAATTTATCAGCAGCCAATTCTTAAATCGAAATACTCCACCTTGGATTACACACTTTATCTCACTTCAAGTAGGTTTTAAGTGTCTGCAAGTTGAATTTCAAGTTATATTGAGAGGAAGTGAAGCTAATAATTGTCTGGGAAGTTGATAGGCATATCAAAATGTATTCCAAGCTTGCTGTGTGGACTGTACATGATTTATAGTTAATGTAGTCTTCATGTTGACGACCCACCTGGGCTGTGAGGTTTGTGCAAGTTGAAGTGCAGATGTCTGGCTCCATCTTGTGGCTGCTCACACGCATTGCTGTCGGTGCTGCTGTGGGAACCTGACCTTCCATTTTGTGATTTAGTTCAAGTGTTTATACAGATTCTTAGTTTATTCCATCTGAATTGTGCCACTTCAGAGGCTACATTCCGGACTAATATTTGAAAACAAAAATGCAGACAGATTAAACAACATCACACTGAATGTAGTTGTAATGGCTCACACTCTTGCTCTCTGTTCACTAACACAAGTGCTGGTAGTCATTTTAACCGTAGCACCTCTTTGCTTTAAACCTGCTTTCCTCGTTGTCAGTCGAATGTAAACCTTTGCTGTTAATTTATGATTTCAATCAAGTTGTTGTTTATTCATTCAATTTATTTTGTTTATTGTTTGTCATTGTTTTTCAGTTAATTTATGGCCGCTGTACACCCTTCCTACACACGACCATGGATTTGTCCTCCATCACCATAGCAACGACAACATCTGTTTTATTTTTTTGTTTGTTTGTTTCTTTTTATTTCGACATTCCATCTTGACATTGTGCACATGGACCAAAGACACTGAGGATGATGGTGAAGCCACAGGGGGGGCGAAAAGAGTGAAAGCTGGTGAGAGATGATGAGGAAAAAAATACTCACTTTCCGTTAGTGGCCATCTCATTAATTCAGGATCTTTCTTTCTGTGTTGTTTTGGACACTTTTTTTCTATATAAATATATGCATTTTGTTTTTCTATGTTGTGACTTAAATATTTTCTGTCTGCATTTTTTTTGTGTTTCATCTTTAACTATCCACACAGAAAGTTACAACCCTTCAGACCTTTTGGTACTACAACGTCACACACCTGGGCTAAGGATTTGAAAATGTTCAACAAGTATTTTTAAAAAAAAAGTAAGGTGTGCTTGACATTTATACAGAATCTATCAGTGAAATTAAGCCTTTCCTAAAGTTTTTTAAAAAAAAATGCTTTCTGAAATGTTGTCCAGGGGTGATGTGTCTGTTAACCTTTTTGTATTCATGAGAACTTAGCTTCACAGTAGAATAAACCCCTGTATGGAACGAGCCCAAATAATACATTTAAATCGCATTATGTCAAGCAATAACTGAGTACCTGTATACTGCAATGCAAATACGTAGGTACTGACAACCTAAAATGTAGTCTTTATAAAAACTTATGCAATATTCTGGTGCTGTTTCAGATTAACTCAGTAAATGTATGTGAATATTTTCTAGAGCTTAATATGCAAGCTTAATATGCAAAATGTACTAGTTTTTGAATATGGTATTATTGTAAGAAGCACATATGATGGTGTGCGTTGTCCGTAAGATTTAACTTTATTGTAAACCATGAGTGACCGTATTGACGTGAGTGTTATGACAGTGGACACACACACACACATAAACATGAAGCCAGTATATACATATAAACATAGGGATTCAGGAAAACATTCAAGCCTCAGCTCGCTGTAGAAGAGTTTACACTCAGAGATGGAGACGAGAGCAGCTGTATTTACTGTCTGACGTTGGAAATAAATGCAAACCCCCCTCTCCCGACTTTGATGCGTCTCTGCCATGATTTGTTTGTCTGTATTCACCCGGGTGGAGAGATGAAAGTGAAACACAGGCAGGTGAAGCCTCTTATTCCCCCGAGACGCGCATAAAGACAACACTCGGAGGCTGTCGGCCTCCGCTGCACCCTGAACAGCTGCCAGCTTGAGACACGCCGTTTCCTGTTTAGCGATTCCTAACTGAAGAGCTGAGTGATGTTTGCTCAGCACATAATCCTTCCTGCTTTCACCACTGTCACCACTGCACAGTGCTGCTGACCTCCACTGTGTGTGTGTGTGTGTGTGTGTGTGTGTGTGTGTGTGTGTGAAGGGTGGCGTGTTTATAGTGTGTGTTTGCCAAAGGTGGGGTGCGTGTGTGAAAACAGAGACCTATGTGAAATCTGTTGACTGTTTTGTCAGTTGTGTAAGTGTGTTTAAGGCGTAAACAGTATGCTTGTGAATGCGGTGTGCCTTTGCGGTGTGTGTGTTCGCACAAGCTGCAGCTGGCTGCTTAAAAAAAACACAACTCTGCATTTCAACACTCAAGAACAGCTTCCTCACGTCATCTGTCTTTGAGCTTTTCCTTCATTCTTTTATGAAAACTTGCCATCAGATCAAACAACTACCAATATAAACTGAGTAATAGAGGTTCTGTTAACATTTTCTAGTTTTCAAGCCAAGTGTGTAATTTTTACATATTTATTTTGCATTATCTGTAATTCACGACTAAAATATCTTCATGCTTAAAATCCAGCCAATGTTTTTCTTTCTGGGTATGTGAAATAAGAGAAAACTGTGAAAACTGCCCATCGAAGTTTCATCGAACCCTTAGTGACGTCATTCAAATGTTTTGTCTGAAGACCGTCAGAAACCACTGCACCACCACTGCAGGTTTCTTTATTTATTGTCATTTGCTGCATTAGTATTTACCCCAAGATGCACAATGTGTGTGTGATTCATTGAAAACCAACAGACGAAGTCACAGCACAGTAATTGAGTTCTTCCCTTTGTAATGGTTTTGTGTTTACTGTGAAGGCTCTGCCAGCACTATTATTATTCTGTCCACCACCTGCAGGGCTCACTGGATCTCATCCAGCCGCACAATCTGTTCAGAGCGCTCTGTTCTCTGTCCTTTAATACACCAGCACTCTCTGCTAACAAAGCTGAGTGATAATTGTGCACTTGACAGTCAGTTCTACGTACAGACTGTACGTACATACGTGATAGCTGAGGATGATAATGAGGAACACTGCTGTAATTGAAGTGTTTGGGGAGTTCTCTGCATTCAGAATGATAAGTTTAGTTAAGCGCGAGTGACTTTCAGGTACACTGAGCTCAACAAAACTGCAATTCCAACCAGCAACCGAAGAGAAGGAAATTATCTAGATACCAAGCCCTTTTGTTTCTTGAAATTATCGATCAAAGCTTATTTACAAGATAAACAAAGAATAAATAAGAGTTAGCAATGATCAATAAACTGTTCACGCTGTCAGTCAGAATTAGATTTTTTTTTTTTTAGCGCAAATTTTACGTTTATTGGGATTTAAAAATGTTTTAAAAATCCATGCCAAGTTTGATTTTTATTAAAATCGTGTTAGTTTAGCATAAGGAACTACAGTTACACACAAGGTAGCTTTGATCATTTTCAAAATCATGTAACAGTTTAACTTTTGACTCTCTAAATCAAAGTTAGCATAACAAAATTTTAAGTCAACTTTAGAGACTTCAAGAAATACAAATGTCTCTTTTATTTTTTTCTTCTTCTTTTTTTTTTTGGCATTATTTGTACACTTTATTAGTCTCATCTATCTGTCCAGCTTCATATTTGATGGACATTTTGGACAGTGCCATCACTCTTCTCACATAATTCTTGACATGAAGTAAAAACACAATTTTCTAGAAACATTAAAACCACCTGCCTAAAATTGTGTAGCTCTGACCTGTCGAGGCAATAACTCTACAAGACCTCTGAAGGTTGTTCAGCAACAAGACTTCAGCAGCAGGTCTTTTAGGTCCTGCAAGGTGGCTCGGTGGTTAGCACTGTTGCCTCGCAGCACGAATGTTGCTGGTTCGCGTCCCGATGAGGACACCCGGGATCTTTCTGCGTGGAGTTTGCATGTTCTCCCCGTGCAGTGTGGGTTCTCTCCGGGTTCTCTGGCTTCCTTCCACGCAGTCCAAAAACATGTTAATTGGTGATTCTAAATTGTCCGTAGGTGTGAATGTGAGTGTGCTTGGTTGTCTGTCTCTAAGTGTAGCCCTTTGATAGACTGGTGACCTGTCCAGAGTGTCCTCTGCCTTCAACTTAAGTCAGCTGGGATAGGCTCCAGCCCCCCGCAACCCTAGTGAGGATTAAGCGGTGTATAGATAATGGATGGAATGGAAGATGCGAGGGGGGGTCTCCATGGATCTGACTTGTTATTCCACCACATCCCACAGACGCTCGGCGAGAATGGGATTTGGGAATTTTGGAGGCCAACTCAACACCCTGAACTCTTTTTGTCATGTTCCTCAAACCATTACTGAACAATTTTTGCAGTGTGGCAGAGAGCATTACCCTGCTGAAAGAAGCCACTGAGATCAGGGAATGCCTCTGTTTAGGTAAATGCTACTTATCGAACATCCACATGAATGCCAGGACCCAAGGTTTCCCAGCAGAACGGTGCCCAGAGCATCACTCTGTCTATTCTGGCTGGCCCTTTTCTTATCCTGCTGCCATCTCTTCCCCAGGTCAAGGATGGACCCAGCCACCCATTTGGTGGAAAAGAAAACATCATTGTATTCAACATCAGACCAGGCCACCTTCTACTGTAGCTCAGTGGATCCACTTCTGAAACTCCATTCACTTTCAGCAGTGGACAGGGTTCGGCATAGGTGTTCGGACTGATCTACAGATTTACTGAGTGTTCTGACACTTTTTTATTTTTTTAAATATCAGCCCTCATTGAGGTTTTTAGCAGTTCATGTATCATAGCTCTTAAGTCTTTGTTCCTCACGTGCATCAATGAGCCATTGGGCACCCATAAGCCTGTCGCAGATTCACCTTTCTTGGACCACTTTTTTGTCGCTATTTTGGAGATACTGTGACCCAATCTTTATTCCAGTACTTTTCTGCTCTTGTCAGTCATTCAGATCCTTAATTCTATTTTTCTTCCTTCCAGCCCATTGACTGTTCACTTGGAGCGAAATATAACCCACTGACATATGTAACTGTAATGAGATATCAGCGTTATTGACGTCACCTGTCAGTGGTTTTAATGTTGAGGTGTATGTCTTTCTTTCGATTACCAGAGGAGTGACAAAGTGTTCACATGAACAATTCTCCGACCTGCTGCAACGCTTTTAAATGAACAAACCAAAAAAAATGGAACTAGACTTTTGAAATCATAGCTTTATTTCTGTGGTTGACAAAACAATAACATATAGCTGCCTCAGTATCTGAAGGAATATGAAATAAAACAGAACGTATACAATGGTCACTGTGTGGCTTGGTCCGGCTTGGTGAATCGAAGCAGACTTTACAGTTGAGAGAACGGACAGTAACCACTTCACATTAGAGAAACTGAACGCAGTGAACAGTTCCAGCCACCGAAAGTCAAAAAAATGAAGATCAAAGTCTTTTGTGTGCCTTCGGGCTTCAACTGTTTGGCAGCGGAGGTAAAGTCCCTGTGGACACACTGCGCGCTCATCTTTCTGCCAAAATTAAATGCTGCTTAAACTGAAATGCGTTTTGTTGCCATTTCAGTTTACACGCCAGTAACAAGATGAAACCAGTACCAGAGCTGCCAGAACTAGGTGATTTTTTGCTAAATAAAAACTGGACTTCCCAATACTTCAACCTCAGATCACTGGTGCTCTCATACAGTATATATTAAAAAATATTGAAAATTGAAACAAGGACATTAATGCTGCATCACTAATCAGTTAATCTCATGGTGTCAAAATGACCTCTTTTTTTTTTCAAATGTATTTTTTGGTCACTCTGCTCTAGTGTTGAATTAATCTCCCAAACATTTCCTGTCTGATATGTAACAACGGTTGCATAAAGTAAATCAACACAGGCTGAAGCATATAATAAAATAATAACGTATGCATCATTTAGTCAGGAAATTAAAGCTTTTAAGTCAAATGTAGCTTTTGTAAATAAATGGTAAATAAAAATTTAGCACAGCAAAAATGTTTAGTACAAGTCAGTAAGATTAAAATAATACAAAAGGTTGAAAAAATAGAATTATTTGCATTAAAAAAAAAAGCTTGTCTTTATCTCAAAGTGCTATGTGGTTGGGGGAGGGAACCTGAGCACCAAGATACCTCACAACAAACAAAATCAGGATTGGCTCTCAAAGATTAAAAAAATAAAAAAACAACCCACACACACCCTTTCTGAATTGTAATCATTTACCTCCAACTTGTTGAAACAATTTGAGGTGGATGTGGAGGACAGGTAGGCTATAAACAAAAAGAGCATTACGAAGTTGAGAACTTAAATGGACAGATAACTCTGCACCAAAGAGAAACATTCAAATCTCATTACAGCTCTCCCAGACAAGTGCACAGAAGGGGCAAGAACTAAATTTGACCTTTTTTGTTTTTCCCAAATCAGTCTCGAAATGTTATGGCAAGTGAGTAACATCTGGATATAAGAGCTTTGCAGCTTTTCCACTGTGAGGTGGACGGTTGTGACTGAATGCTGCTAGTTGAGCGCCGGGTGTAAGGGCGGGCACGGGGAGACGTCTTTTTTCTTGGCGTCGAACAAATGCTCGATGTCGCTCCCCTCGGCACCCGGAGTCATCTCCTCCCTGTACAGACACCTGAAACCGTCGTAATACTCGTCCGAGTCTCCCTGCTCCTTGCCGCCTCGCCCCCTCCCAGCCCGCCCGAGGCGCTGCTCCTCCTCGTGGATCTGGGTGCTGTCGAAGATGTAGACGGAGTTGGTCGGCAGGGAGAACTCCAGGCTGTGGAGGTACTCATCCACCATCTCTTTGCAGTGGATGAACTCAACACTGTCGACCTGGAAGAGGGAAGAAACAAGGTTTAAAAGCAGATCCGACCTTAGTTTACCCTTCAGAAGGAATGGTTTCTGAGATGGTCACGTCTGTGGGCTTTTGTCTCTCCTTTTCAGCCTCCTGTGTTGGACACTGCTTTTGCAGAAACTGGGTCTAAAGTGGAGGTTTGCATTATAATTTGAAGATGTGCACATTTGCATTTAAAGCTAACTCCTCTACTTCTTTCCCTTAAAGTGATTATTACAATGTTGGGACTGCAGAAAAAGCCAAACAGCTGCTTTAACTAAAGATGTGTGCTGGTTTTTGCATCTGAATGTGCCAACATGTGTTTTCAATGGGGCGTCTTCATTTGAAACACCCTCTGTAGAAGCCAATAATGTAATAACAGCCGATAACGTAACAACGGCCGATAACATAAGAAATTTGCACTTTTTAAAATGTAATAGGCCAATAACGTAATAATTGGCTAATAATGTAACAAAAGTCCTGAACCGACAACGCAACATCTTTTGGCCAATAATATAATAAGTTACTGTGTTATTGGTCTGGTAAAAAAAAACAAAAAAATCTTTGCAAATGTAAGAAATGTAATAACTTATTACATTATTGGTTCAGGACTTTTATTACGTTATTGGCTTCTACACCCTCTTTTTTTAAATACTGGATTTTTAAAAAAGACATTAAAATGTGCAAGCCTGTATGGTGAACAGACATATATACAATATAACCCTGTATCATGCAGTATCTATTATACTGTCAATGACTGTAATTTGCTTTTTATGGAACTGTGATGTAACATACAGTATGTGCTGGTTCCACCTACAAATCAAACTGTATTATCAACTCCTGTTTACACATTTCTTAAGTTCTAATACATGTTACTCCATTGGGGTATGAAGGTCTCAAGTGAAGAAATGTAACGCCACCCTCTCCTCATTCAAACACAATAATTCGAAAATGCAGTCTAGCTGGCCTGTGCCCTTCTCTTACTTGTGCTTTCTTCAGCAGGTCGGTAAAGACGGAGAACCAGTCGGGTGTGAGCACCTCCAGCTCCAAAGTGATGATGGCCAAGGCCAACGTGGAGCCCTTGAACTGCCAAAGCTGGTGGCAGGCCATACAGTGCTGCACCTGCCTGGTCCACAACGCCACCTGGAGGCCTGAGGGTCTCTTCTGATGCCCCGGACCGGAGGGAAGCACGCCGGGCTCTGGTGCCGAGTCCCAGCCGACGCCGGAGCCAACACCGATGGACGGAACGAGGTGGGGGTGGCCGGAGACGAGCAGGGCGTGGAACTAGGACCGAGATGAACAGAGAAACGGGGAGGAATGAGACCAAAACGTTAGCATAATGATGTCATTGTTGCTTCATCGTCTGTCCATCCATCCATCCATCCATCGCCCACCCCTCACCACTCGTACATCCACATCAAATATTCCAGAGCATTTAACGTCCAAACGTACATATCTGACAAAAAAGGTCAACACATCACTCATCCCTTTGATCCAAACTTCATCCAGCCAACACACTGTCAGTTTGCAGTCTGTGATTTTCTACTCTTCTCAAGTGTCTGTTGCCATATTAAAGTTACTGCAGAGGTTCGAACCTGGAGCTCTGTGCAGGTTTTACTAAAGAAGCCCCCCATCGTTGCCTGAGTACTCATCGTAATCTTGTTTGTATCGTATCGTACGTGAAGTGCTTTTCTGTGTTTCCATTTGTGGGCAGAAACCCGACCTGAGTGGGGGCTTAGTGTAAAAAAAAAAACAACAAAAAACATATACTTTGCACTTTAGTTTCTTCATACTCATGTTCAACAATGAGTAAAACACATCTGCAAACAGCTTGTTAGCTGGCTTCACTAATGACTAGAGGCTAGATGAAGAACGCTAACAAGATACTGACCAGTGGCTGGTGAAGACAATTATGTATTAGATTGCAAAACGTCAACGCATTCTCCTGGTGTTTGTTACAGTCCAATGTCCTGTGTTTCATTCATTCATGTTGAGTTCATCTGCTTTAGTTTGTCTCTTACTCCGTAGCAACAAATAAGCCATGGGTTTTAAACGAAAGTGGAATTTTACTGGGAGGTAGATTCAGCAATGTGGTGCCAAAGTCAAACATGATTCCTAAAACAGGCGGTCTTCTTTAAAAACTCTCCAAATCTCTCCTGTTCCTCCTCAAGCTTTCCTTCTATACTTCAGTCTGGGAGAACAGATTGCAGGGTAATGTAGCAAAAATAGACACAGATTGTGTGTTTAGATTTGACTTTCCTGATCAGACGGTGAAAGTTTCTGGCATCACACGGCTGACTCTACCTTTCAAAGAGGTAATGACAAGGAATCTCTGTAAATCCTCTTATTTATTCATATCAAAGTGTCATGGTGGAGAGTCTGTGACAAATTATCGATAGATTTTACCGATTGCTGTTTTGTAGACAATGGAGAATAACACTTTATTTAGGAAAGGGAATGCAAAAGTAGTTACTTCAGGGCAGGGGGGAATGTAATTGTGAGATATTTACAGTACAGGTAAAAGTATTTATTTGAAAAAAAAATATTTATTTGAATAGTATAAAAAGAGAAAATGTCTTTATTTTATTATAGTTTTTATGATTACATTATGTCTCTTTATTTTGGAAGTCTTGGATTTTGTAATACCTAAAGTGAAGTGCTAGGACAATAATCTATAGATTCACACTAATAATGATAATAATTATGATAACTCTGCACTTGGCTAACCTGTGACACAACTATCAGTCAGATCCTCAAACTGTATTAGGAAGGGGAAAGTGCCATTTTTTTTTTTGTTTTGCAGAGGACTCTGAATCAGCCCAGTTCGGTCCGAATGTGCCAAGCTGCTTTTTGGCGACAGATCATGGTTTGTGGCTTTAAGAATCAGTCCTCCACTAATCTCAGTATCACAAACAAATCTAGCGCTGTTGTTTATTTATTGAGGGAATGTAGGTGGTCTGGGATGAGAATGCATGACAATACTTCACAAATCAACTGTGGTCAATATCAAGACATACAAAAAAATAAATAAAAGAAATCACTGTCAGATGTAATTTAGAGATGGGACTACAGCTGAGGAAACCACGGAGAAATCCTGTGTTAACTACAATGTTTCTGTCAAGAAAACTACGGGCTGTATTCATAAAGCATCCAACTGCTTGCTTACAACCTGTTCTACTTCTTCATTTACAGTTAAATGTAGTTATATTTTTCTTTCAAAGGACTCTCTGTCTCTAGAAGGAAACACCTGCCTCCCATTTCTTCGTGTAATGCGAAGCTGCTGCTGCTGCTGAGCGATTCACTATTTCTGCTCGCTGACTTTCAGAGACACCGTATCGCGATGATGAGATCTCTTCTCATTAAAAAGGCGCTATGAATACAGCCCTGGGCCCAAGTGCATGAGGGGACCTAAATGATGTTGTGTGTATGTGTGTGTGTGTGTGTATTTGTTGACAGTTCAGTCAGTGGTGACCGCCTCGGGCAAAGAGTTGTGAGGGTTTAACAATTACGCTGCTGTGTACAGATCTAAGCTGTAAGCTGAATCACGCAGCATGGGGGGGTTCTGAACAATGACAGTCTCAACAATCCACAGCATGTTATTGATGCACTAATCACCCAAAATGTCTTTTCATTTTGACAATTTGAAAAAGGTTTTAGATCTTCAAACTCCCCCTCTGGTGGCAGCAGGGTTTCTTAAGTAAGGCTGCAGGTAAGACTTAGTCAGAAGTGCCTTGGCCTGATATGCAACACGCATGTTATTTTGCTGGCAGCTTGCAAATGCAGTCTTACATTGTTAAGAGGAATCTCTTGACGCTCTCTATGCTTTTTTTTTGTTCATATAAACACCGTTTGGGTAACTGGTTTGGGTTGTAACTTGGGTTTGTCCTCTATGGAAATTTCAAGTCCAATATCTAGACTGGAACGCAACACTGGTTTTTAGTTTAGCCTTTTCCAGCAACTTGATTTCTCCCATCTGTTAGATCAGGAAAACTACCAAATAAGTCTGAAATGAACAATTGTTTTCATTCTCTGTTCATCTCTTAAATATATCTAATATTTTTGTCTATAAAATGTCAGAAAATGGTGAAAAATGTGCTGTTGCTTGAGTTTCCACTGCCCAAGAAGAGATCTTCAAATGCCTTTTATTTTTTAACACCTAAAGATATTCAGTCACGTGTGACAAAGCAAAAGCATCAAATTCTTGCATTTACGAAGCTGAAACCAGCAAATATTTGGCATTTTATGCTTAAAATACCTGATGATTAAAACAGTTGCAGATTAATTTTTTGACTTGTTGTTGCAGCTCCAGAGCAAAAGTGTGCCAAGATACTAAAACACAGCAAAGGTCAGACAGCATTATCATTCTGATGTATTAGAAAACCAAATGTAAAAACCTTGAACCAGGCTCTTTGATTTTATATTTACATTAGAGGCAGGGTTTTATTTCTGTTCTTTGCTTCAACGATTGTGGGAGAGACGCACTTCAACCAGAACTGAATAGAGTTTGTATCAATGATAATGATGGGCACACTGAGTCAAATGAAAAGAATGCACAATCTCTAGTAGGACCAATTCTTTTTTGTGGGGGCAGCAAGGGGGGGAGAGAGATGTGAGGCTTTGTAAACACCATCTTGTCGCAAACATGATGCAAGCATGATGGTTTGATGTGTGCTTTTTGTACTGCTTGTGTTTTTATGCAAGACCAGGACCTGAATTTATTAAAGCTCACTACGAGATGCTCCGATAGTTTGGGTCCAGTTTAAAAAAAAAAAAAAAAAGAAACAAAAAAAAAAAGTTCTGTTTGCCTGTCTGTCTGCTGAATTCTAACTTACTATGTGAATGAAGTCGACCGGTGTTGCGGTGTACAAGTCCCAGTGCAGCTTGTCTAGAATGATCCTCTCCATGCGAAGAATCTCCGCTGTTGAAAAGTTGCATCCGCTCTGCACAACCAGGTCTCTGACAGAACCTATTACCTGTTAAAACAGACACACAAAAGGGAAGCGAATAAACATATTGTTTTGAAAATGCATTGAAGTCTTGGGTGGTGTTTTCCCTTATTTTATTCATTTTTTATTGTCATTTAGGTTAATGCTTTTTGAATCCTTGTGGATGATCTTACCTCATCTTCCTCATTGATTTTGGCGGCCAGGACCAGTGAGGTAAACGCAATGCATTTCAGGTATTTTGGTTGAGCCTTTAAAGAGAAAATAGTTTAATTTAGTTTGTCTTTCGAACCTGAAAAATCTGTGGAGGTGAGAATACATTTCAGACAAGAAAATTTGTTCAGTGAAGTTGGAAAGTTCGAACAGATCTGTCACATGCTGATCTGTTTCTGCAAAAAATAAAGAAATGCAAGCTCGACTGTATGTTCTGCATAAGTGACTTGCAAATTTTGTACAATGCAAGTTTGATTTTTGGGCTGCAGATGCTGTGATAAGCCACACTAAGTTTAAATGGACTTCATATAGTCAGATTTGCAAGTAAATAAAAGCACTACAGTGTTTTGAAAGCGTACAATTTTCCATACTAGGCTAGTAAAGCCATGGACAAAAGCTTTTATAAATGGGAGCAGTCGACCTTGACAGTGGACAGCAGTCGGTTGAGGACACACACTCCCAGTGCAAAGGTCTCTGGACAGAACTGAAACAGCCTGCTCATGTCTCCCAGCCAAAGGATCATTTCTTGGTGTTGGGAGGAAGAGATGTCAGCGCCCTGAGTGGTCAGAGGAGACAACTGTTGGTTAATAAATGACCCGTGAATGAAGAACTATGTTTCAGATAACAGAAACAGGTCTATAACACATTAAAAACTGAACAACACGCAACTTGGAACTTCCCAGGACTTTTCAGAACAAGAACATTTTGGATATATGTCACTGAAGAAAAGACAAATGTCCTCTGGCAAAGCAGCTGTGGGGCAGAAAAGAATGGAATACGTCTTTAACATGTCAGTAACATTAAATTAAAAGATGGACTCCACCTGCAGTAGGAGGTCCTACAGTAACATCTATATGTAAATACACCTCAATTACTGATAACTCTGTTCATTTGCTGATTTTATACTTAAAATTTAAACCAATACTCACGTTAATAATGCCTAACAAGCACCTTTAAGGGGTGAAAGACAGCAGGTATTACAGCAATTCAAAAGTGAGACTCCAGCCGGCCTATTTATCACACCGGCTGAATCATTTTTCTCAATATGAAGAGGTTTCCCATAAATCTGCTGTCACATAAAGAATGCTCCTATTCTCATTTTACTGAAAGGATCAAGATTGATTTTCAACTTGGCTTCACTTCCTCTGTGTCATCATAAAAAACTCAGCAGTTTTCACACTTTATTCTGTTTTAGCTGAACAGAAAAAAGAAAAAAAAAAAGTCCACCCAATACCAGTTATGAAACACTACTCTTAGCGCCTTCAGAGGAGCTCATAAATCACACGTACTGCGTACAGCGCGGGCTCACCTGGATGCATCCGTTCTTGAAGACAGGCACCTTCCAGAGGCGAGCCTCCCTGACCAGGGCGGCCTCCAGCAGGACGACCAGCCGGCGGCTTTCCGCTGCTCCCGGGTTCTTCATCGCCACCACAGCACAGGCCAGGCTGCACCCAGGGCACGCACACCTGATGCAGGAGGAGACAGACATCACAAGACTGGTACACAGAAAGCAAACCAGCCCTCAAAAGGCCGGAATCAATCTATATACTGTGTTAACTATGCTGCATTCACCTTGAGGTCAACCTGCAATGTGTTACACTTATTTAGCCTCGTTTACGGCACATTTCAGCTTCATTTTCCAGTAAAAAAAAATAGGCTTTAAAGAGGATTTATAGTATAAGAAAACAGAGGGCCTGCCTTCTTTTTATTGAAGTGCAAAAGGAAATAAAGAAGGTAGCAACATAAAGGTTCAGGACTCTAAAACATTCCCCAAAAGAGCAACTTGAACAGCTTTTAGAAGGTCTTCCTGTGCACAATGTGTCTATTTGTTGCAGCAGTTTGCTCAGTCAGCTCAAGGAGCCAAGTGTGCAGCAGGAAATGAACTGCGCCTTCAACAACAACGCCATTTTTCAGACTTTGCAGGCAGACAACGCAGGACTGAGAAGCGGAGCAATGCAAGAAAAAAAAAAAACCCTGCCAACTTTGAATCTCTGGTATGTGACTTGTGCTGCAACACAACACAGACAGGATCCAGGCGGGAGAAGTGCAGCTGCTGCAGCTTCCTGCACAGTTGCTGCTGCTGCTGCAGACGTAAAAAAAAAAAAAGAACAAAAAGAAGAGACACACTTTTTTTGTTTCTATTCTGTGCTCAAGCTCTCTTACCTCTTCGATTTCAAACGCAGAGTATCTCCTCGACGGCAGGTGCATTTATACGGCTTTTAAATTTAGTCCATGTTCACCGAAAGCGACCAGCAAACAAACAACAGTGGGATGCTGTTTGGGGGGGAAAACAATCTCGGAGCAAAACGGGTTTCGCAGGGAATATAAAAGAAAGCAGCCGCATTATATATAAACAGCAAATAAAAGTGGGGAAGGAAAAAAGCGCCAAGTGGTTGGGGGGAAAAAAAGAACAAAAAAAAACTGGGGTAGTTGGACGAAAAAATAAGCGCAAAACAAGGCAGGAAGCAGAGAATCAGGGAGGATTGAGGGCAGCCTGTGTTTTGAACGCAGCTGACTCCGCCCCCCGTGACGTCACCCCGTCTAATAAACAGAAATGTGTTAGTGGGTCAGACATACGGGGCCCCTCGCACAAAATGGTCGAGCTCACACTGGAAATGGATGATTTCTGCTGTGAGGCCCGAGAAGATGTTTTTTTTCAGGTGCTCAGATCTGGGTTTTACTCACTATGTGAATTTATCCTGCTGAGATGCAGCAGCAGCTGCTCTTTCTGTCGTCATTCATCCAAATCCAGTCTGATGTTTGTGAATCAAGAATTCCTGCAAGTGATTTGAATCTGCTCAGCCCCCCACCCTCCTCCACTCACTGCAACGACATCAGATCTCAAAATGACCTATCTTGCTTGACAGTTGTCTCGCTTAATCCTCTAAGTCTCATGTAGTTTCCACGTTTTGTTATTGCTCCAGTCACATTTTTACCCACTGTGAGCTCATTTTTATTTTGCCCATTCTCAATGGAAACAACAAAATCACTTCTAGAGGTAGAGAGAGGTCAGCAATGTCTTCTGTACAGTATCACTAAAGAATAAGAAATATGCTATTCTGTGATTTTTATTTATTTATTTATTTATTTATTTTACATTTTTTAAAAATTAAAATGGGTGAAAAAAAAACCTTGAATACATGTACAACATTTTTCCAGGTGACCACAGGTGTTGCCAATCCTGGGGAGGAAAAATGTGACTGCCCATGCTTCGTAGTTATATTTTCGAATTGAATTTTTAATGTGTTTCCATACTTGTCTAAAATCTGCACTGCACAGCCTGCAGTTCAGCCGAACAGTCTCTGAATTTTTGTCACATGACTGTTGCCTTCTGCTGAGTCACCAGTGTCCTCCATGGTTGCACCAACGAGTGGAGGATTTTTTGTTTTATATATAATCTCACTACAGCCAACAGGTTATTTTTGATATTTTTTTTAAAAGAGACATGAAGAATAAGGGGATTTTTCTGAAACATTACAAATTTAAGCTTAGATTTAGTTAATTTTTCCAACTAAACTGGGAATCACACAGGATTCATTCAAGGACCAACAGGAAGTTAAACAAGAAGAGACCTTAGTATGTCAAAAAGTCCTCTGAAAGCTCAGTATAAACTCGTAATGGGGGACAGCTCCTGCATTCTTGTTCTTGAGGCCATTTCTTAAAGAAATGCTATGTTAGATGATAATAATCACATCACATGAGAAGCTGGTGCTGGTGAACTTTTGCCATTTTTACTTGCAAAATATTACTCAAATTGATCAAAATGTTTACAATTAATTTTCTGCTGATTTACTAATCAATTATTGATGTGATGTTGCAGCTCAACACAAGGAGACTTATCAGCTGATCAGCCAACATTTCCACCAACCAACCAGAACCCCATACGCTTGAACCTCCAACAGGTATGTCTCAATCAAATGCTGCAATCACTCTCTGAGATGGAAACAATCACATAATCAACTGTATTCGATGCATTTACTAATATCTATGTCTGTCAACCAACTTGTCATTGGAGAATTTATTGGTGGAAATAATGCAAACTGCATGAAAACCTTGAGGAATTATAGTAGTTTAAAAAAAAAAATTAATTAAAGATTAGATTATTTTTATGCAGGCTTGGTTGTCTGTCTCTCAGTGTAGTCCTGTGATAGACTGGTGACCTGTCCAGGGTGTCAACCACCTTCACCCTAAGTCAGCTGGAATAGACTCCATCCCCCCGCAACCGTAGTGAGGATTAAGTGGTGTATAGATAATGGATGGATGGAATATTTTAATGCATAAACTATTCATGCACACTTAAACTAGAAGGCTAAGATGCATATCATCAACATGTGCTCCCATGATATACCACATACTCCCACTTGTTATGCATCATGGCAGGACAGGATGCACAAGTGCTTCTTAATTGATTTCTTTGCTCTCATTTAAATTTTTTATCCCCTGAACTGATAAGAAATGTGATTTCTGCACCAGTATTATCAGTGCACCGCAGCCTTGACCTGTGTGCGACCTGCTGCAACCAATACTCTGAATGTGGGCATCAAGATGCAAAACATCTAAATTAAATTTACTGTAATCTCAGCTGAGAATAAAACTAAGCCACAAGCTCTACCCAACCTCAGAAAAACAAAAAATAAATAAATAAAAAAAACTGACGGGGGAGATTGCAACACATCCAGGATGTTGCAATCCTTGCTCAATATAGTATTTTCTTCAAGACAGGCTTGTTTTCCTTTTTTTACTCCCCATAATCTGTTTTTAACACACTTTTGATAGATGAAGAGACGGTCGTAATTGTCGTCTTTAAGTACACAGTCAAATTAGTTTTTCTTACTTCATTTTTATCCAGTTTTTATGTATCAAGCTAGAAATTCTGTGTGATTTTTGAAAAACAAATAATTACAAACGGCCAAAACCTCTGATACATATCAATTAAAATATTTTAGTAGATATTATTTTATGTCTAAATAAAGGATTATGGCATGCTTTTGAATTGTAAATGAAGAAATACTATTCTGTGCTATGACAGTAAGAGTTCACGCAGCAGTGCGCTTGTTGATTTTCCTTTCTCCTCTGCCATTGAAAACCCGAGAGCATTCATCAATATGTCACTACTGGCAGCAGGATTTGATTAATTGCTCCCTATATGCATTTCATACAGTTTTCCCACCACGGACGGATGATTGGATTATTATTTCATATGAACGTTTTCTGACCTCTGTGCTTCCATTTAGTCTGATCCGGGAGTGACATCACATACGCGAGGATTACCTTGCTTTCGAATAGATTTGTGTCCTCCTCTAGTAAAATGAGATTATAATGCTTCAAATACTGTTGCTGAGCATTAAAGGACAGGAAAACACAAAGCAGGTCATAAATATTGGAAAAGAGAGTGGTGTCTTTGTTGTGTAGGCCCTGTACTGCACCACACTGGGTTTGAAATGAAACAATGGCAACAAGTTTTACGTTCTTCCTTTACCTTTAAAGGTTGGGGATGTTTGCAGCAACATCAGACGAACAATGTAGGAACCACAGTCCTTTTTATACATGATTTCCCCATTTTAGTCGATTTGTTCAGCTCAGCTCAGACTCAGGCACTGACAATGCCGTTTGTTCACTTTATTCCAAAGCTGAGTGTTCATATAAGCACTCAAATGCAATGAGGTCGCTGGCACATACTAGTAGAAGAACAGCCTCAGTTCAAAACTAGCATTTAGAATAGGTTTACACATCAACAACCGCTTTTCACAGATAAGTTATAAGACTGTAATAGAGTTTTAAATGAGGAAGCGAGGAACTGTGAATCACATTTGAGCTGACGACACCACTGCCACCACGCAAAGTGCTGTCTCGTCCTCCACCTAACCCATCCGCTCCTCGCTGCAGCTCGCAAACACACCACTTCTCCCTAAACACTGTAAAACTACTCACTGGAAAGTTGTAATATCGCAGAAATGAAAATTGATTCTGAAGAGGAATAATGTTATGGAAAGTCTCACCCCGCAAGTCAACAAGTTTGGACAACTTTCTCAGCGTTGTTATGCACAAAACTCTGGCTGACTGTATCCGTGTTCTTTAGGGGTCGCTGGTACTCTTCAGTTTCAAGGTTAACTGCTTATTTCACTCATGATTTGTCTTCTAGTATTAAAAAAAAAACCCATTTGAACATGTCGGCAAGGTAACAAATAAAAGTTTTCACTGGAGAGAGTTTTTAAGATTGGGTCACTGATGGTAGAGAATTATTCGTATGAGAGCTGAACAACCTCTGCTGGACTAAACAAATCGTCAATTTTCATATTTGTTTGCAGGCGATGATTGCACAATGGTGTTGCGAGATGCTAAGCTGCAGCTGTGTTCATTTAATGTCCTTTATGCCCTTCAGCCTAATCTTCAGTGAGAAACATCATCAGTATGGTGTTGACCTGCTTTCAGAGTAACTTTTAGTGAAATTTTAAAAGCCTAATGTCCAAAGAAATTGGATTTTATCAGTCCATTTGGTTTGTTATAAATGAAATCTATATGGAGATACTGTCAAGACAATGAAACGTTAAACGGCACATGCAGATCTATAGGCAGATATGTTGTATCATATTGGTGCGTGTAATTTAAGACGAATGGTTTAATTTTGTGGTCTTTTATCATTTTAAATGTAATGTACCGGAACAATGCCAAAATGATGAAAAATGCATCACTGTCCAATTATTCGAGATCTGCACTACTCTTAGCATGGTGGTATATTAGCAGTGGATATTTGCTTCAATTAGCCACAGTAGCTTATTATTGTTGAAATGTGAATTTCGATTAGAGGCCATAAAAGCAGTGCCAGAGAGCAGTTATTACTGTAAGTAACAGGCCGCTTCACGCCACTTTACGCTGAATGATGTTTAGGATTGGACAGCTTGGTCTACAGGCTGCTGGCTGTAATAATATTGCAAAGATTGTTTCATTTCTGATTGACACCAAAAAATCCAACAGCACACACTATGACAGAAGGAGAGAACACATTTGTGCTTCACAGCTTCCTGACTGCGCTTGTTGTTCCTGTCAGGAAACCTCAGAAACAACAGAATCAGAAGCGCTCGACCTTCTGTCTATTTAAACAGTCAACCAACTTTACCTAATATCAGTCGACCAACGGGGTGGTGTTTTTTTTTGTTCTTCGCTCTCAGCCACCTCACACAGCTGACTGATAAAAACAAAGTTAAGGCAGCGTGTGTGAGCCGAGGTCATGACAGGAACGCTGATAAGAAGCGATGGTCACAGCAGGCAGCATATCTGCATGTTGACAGAGTGTAACAAGCAGTGGGAACACAGTGGTTATGTACTCTATCAAGCCAGGGAGTGTTTGACGTATATGTCTTGTTTGTTCTCGGAGAGCTCGAGATGGTGAATTTGTGCCATTTAGGATCTGGAGGTTATTCACACATACAGTACATTCTGGGGCTTGAAGCTGCACATATCCGTCCTTCT